GTCTATATCACAAGTATAACCGTCTATATCACCAGTATAACCGTCTATATCACCAGTATAACCGTCTATATCACCAGTATACCCGTCTATATCACCAGTATAACCGTCTATATCACCAGAATAACCTCTATATCACCAGTATAATTGTCTCTATCACCAGTATAACTGTCTATATCACAAGTATAACCGCCTATATTACCAATATAACAGTCGAAATCACCAGTATAACTGTCCATATCACCAATATAACCGTCGATATCACCAGTATAACCGTCTCTTTCACCATTATGACCGTCTGTATAACCAGTATAACCACCTATATCACAAGTATTACTGTATATATCACAAGGATACCAGACTATATGACATGCATAACTGTCTAAATCACCAGTACAACTGTATATTATCAGTATAACTGTATATTACCAGTATAACTGTCTATGTCATCAGTGTAACTGTCTATATCACAAGTCAACTCTGAAAAGGAGTGAACGTGCACAGAAACGATTCACATTCATGGACATACACTCAAATACACCTAAAGACTCGGAGAAAAGATCAGTGTAGAGAATAGACACTGTATCATGGCATCAGCGGCCCAGCGGCGTGTACGACTAGATGGACAACGTAGAAATACCGTTGCTTAACAAATTATAGTTAATTCTACTATTCCTAATCAAGTGTATGTTGGATGGTTGTATGACGATAAAACGATGGTTCGTGACCCGGGGATACACATTTGAATGCTATCAAAGATATAGGTTGTTAGAACCAGTTAGGACTGATAACCCTCCACGTGCACCTAAGACAGATCATGTCAAATTTTCCAACTCAAGTTCGCATATTCATGAGATCGACGTCTCGAATGTGATGACTCGCTTAAACATTTTGGAATACTTAGAGGTTTAACGTTGACGTCGCCCAAATACTAGAGGATTCACGAATAAACAATTTAGCGAGCTAAAATGAAAAATTCGTGACGATTTTCATAAATTTCATATGAAATGAAAACGAGTGTAAGATCCTTTTTATCAATTAATCAAGATTTGTGGCATTTATTCGCGTAAAACGACAATTTTCATGCAACTTTGAAACGCAAAAAGTCGCCGTTTTGACTCCAGTGCGTAAGTCTGTGACGTCATGTACTCGTACTAGACGTGACGTCACAATTGAAACAATTGAAACTTACAACCAATCACAGGGCTGATAGGTCATATAGCATGGGTTGATACGCAAAACAGTATGACATGGTGTATTCAGTGGATAACACAGTACATTTAAACAATACCTGGTTGTCTGGATGTAATTATTGTTGATATAATTACAAGTGGCCTCTGGCCAATCCCATAAAACCCGCTTGGGATTTATGGTAAATGTGCCAGAGGCCACTTTTAATTATATCAACAATAATTATATCCAGACAACCAGGTATTTTTTGTATTTACATATTTTTCTTTTTTAAGACATATTCCTACAAAAACCATTTGCCCTGCCTCAAAATACATTTCAGGCGGCCATTTTGCTTGTTTACATATTCCTACACCTGAAACAGGCAGTTGTAATTATAGCCGATATAATTACACTTGCCCTCTCATCTAACACTGTTGTAATGGGACGGCGCGGGGGCAAATGTAAATATTATGTGATAAACGTATTTATTACATTTTACCAGAGAAATTTTGAAAATTATTCATTTTATAAAAGCGGTAATATCACTTTTGCTGATGTGACCAATCAAAAACTCATTACAAACCACCATGAGAAAAATATACAAGTGGCCCATATGGTCAAAGCCTGGTTAGCTTAACGATACGCAGGCCTCGAGAAAATCCGTCTGAGACAATCAGGCAATGGAAAAAGTTTGACTGTTTGATTGGAGGTATGGGGGGACTTTTATTAAGTAATTACATTATGAAAATCATTTGGCATACTTAATCAAAAACATGAATTTAAGTACTTATTTTATTAAAATAAGTTATTATAGGGATTTAACGATGATTTTTTACATTTGATTAGAATATTAGCAGATGGGACTATGTTTTGTCGCGTATGGTTGTCTAGACATGCTAGCGATAATTAAAACTATCTAGATCAAAATATTGTCAGCTGGTTGGGTCGATTCGCAATCTGGTGTAGGTTTTCGTAAAAAATTGTAACAAACAGAATATCTAACAGTGCTTTAGGTGGGGTTCTCAGTGCCAACGTGTGGTCAAAATATTCTCCAGACTCGTGAAATATATTTGGTATTACTGAAGACACTGTTAGATATCCTCTACATAGTTCCTGACATATCTATTACGTCTGCATTTAGTTGTTTATCCTCTTGTCCGTTGGTGACGTCGACCTGCTGGGTATACAAAAATTGTCAATACAGCTAATGCAAGGAGGAAACGGATATTAAACCTGTGTAAAGAGAAATAAATTTGCATGTATATGTAGGAGGCTATCTTTCGAACGAGGTCAAGCATTTTAGTATACGCCTATCAGAAACGTGAATTTTGCGAAAATGTTAAATGGGGTCATATTTTAAAGTTTGAAAGGTTTCAGTCCACCTTAAGATACAATTACATATCGGGTGGCATTTTACCTACTGCTTATCTTAACCCCTTACACGCTCAATAATACTCCCTGCGTATCAGGATAGATCCACACATACATCTTGTAATTGGTTCTCATGTCCCTGTGTCTACAAAGTATCGCTGATGAGACGGCAATTTTGATTGGTCCTATGCTGGTTCGCTCGGGGCTTTCCGGGGTCAAAAATACAAAACTAGCTCAAAGAAAACAGGGCGGTACTTATCCATAACTACAGATCACAGAAAAATGTTGTATATCATCATGTATATTAAACAATACCAACAACACTGGCGTACATTTCATGCAATTGGCTTGATACATGAGGTAGCCATTTGTGACGAGACTTCGGTTTGAACACTCGTGGTAAAAAGTTTTCTCTTCACTCCAATGTATATACTTTAGTAAGATGAACGCCTCCCTAAATATGGAATGAAATCATTAAAACATAAATCCCTATTCATCTGGTATCAAAGCGGTATCCTGGATAAAGCAAACAACCAAAACGTGTGATTGTCTTAAAGCCAAAACACTGAAGTCGAGCCATTCTCACTGCGTCTGAATGATTCTATTCAACTCTTTCATAAGGATATCGTAAGATATTAGGAAATATTACACAAATATCTCTTCTGATGTCACGTTTTGGTGTGTATGAGACAATCTATAATCCTGCATCGTCATTTATGACTATGCACATGCTACACAATCACAATTTTTATTGTAATGACACCCGCATACCACAAACATGGCTATGTTGTACCGGTTGGCGTTGGTCTCTTATACGTATCCGTAGGCGAAACGCTTTTAAAGTGTGGGCGACTTTGTCCAGAGGCTAATATTGCCAGCAATATCACGCTGACCTCTGGCCGGATTTTCCGTCTACCCGAAGTCGTCATCAATCATGTATTCCCGCCACGTTGGAATTTCGCCGGTGACTTCATACAACATAAGCACATAAAGCTACATTCTTTTTATATCTATTGAACAGCTAATTTCTGAAACAACTTTTCGACAAGGCTATGGTGCGTTCGGACTTTGGCACAAACGATTCCCGCCTTTTTATGGCATGATGACGTACGGATCTTCGGAGAATCCACATGGGAGGGCATAACTCGAGCTTGTTTATCAACGAAATGAAATCATCCAGATAATACGGAATATTTACTTTGAGGTTTGGGCAGGGTACTACATGTAGTGCGCTGACTCGTGTTAACAGGAACATGATGCTATCAAACAACTGCTGTCGGAACCGCCATGGGCAACCCCATAACTTTCCATCGCCATAAAAACATTTAGGTCAGAATCTAGTAGTGGAATTTAACGAAAAGCCGGGCTAAGTGGGGAAAACCCAAGTAAACAATAAAGTCTACAAACTGAATATACCAATTATTTGCTTACGATGTGTCTTGGAAAGTGGAAAGCCTCAGATACTGGACTTATAGAGATGTCATAACTTCATAGGTGTAATTACCTCAAAAACTCTTATGTCGAAAACAAATGTGACTTTCCGTACGAAGTAAGTGCAGCCATGACAACACGACTGACCGCCGGCGGTACGTTGTGCCTTGTCTTTGAATTGTTTATGCTATGGTCAGTTTGTGCGGGTTTGCCCTTGACCGAAATGACCAAGCTTATGAGTAGGGATATGTCAGCAGAACTAAAATCCTTGATGAGGAACTGGGAGTTGGACTTCGTCCGACGATTGGACGGACTCGCCACAGGCAATATCCCGACAAGGCAACATGATGGCGTAGGTAAGGAACCACACCGCGTACTGTACTAAAACTCGAATATACCACGCTACATCATAGATGGCAAAGAACAGGATTATACTGTGTTTTGCGATATGATGGGTAGTAAAAATAGGGTATAAAATGTATATACCGTGTCATTTTGTGTAACTTGGTTAATAGAAACATCGACATCATTACAAGTTTACTATAAATATTGTTATTGTTACTTGGTAACTAGGAATATCGATATCGTTACTTGGTTACCAGAAAAATTACTTGGTTACTGGGAATATATATATCGTAACATGATTACTAGGAATATCAATATTGTTGCTAGGCTACTAGGAACATCGACATCGTTACTTCGTAATTAGGAAATCGATATCGTTACATCATTACTAGGAATATCAATATCGTTATTTGGTTATTAGGAACATCGGTATCGTTTTTTGGTTACTAGGAAAATTGATATCGTTACTTGGTTACCAGAAAAATTGATATCGTTACTTGGTTACTAGGAAAATTAATTGGTTAATAGGAATATCGATATCGCTACTTGGTTACTAGGAATATTGATATCGTTACTTGGTTTATAGGAGAATTGATATCCTTACTTGGTTTATAGGAAAATTGATATCCTTACTTGTTACTAGGAAAAGTGATAGTGTAACATGTTTACTAGGAAAAGTGATATCGTCACTTGGTTACTAGGAAAAAATGGTATCGTCACTTGGTTACTAGGAAATATTGGTATCGTCACTTGGTTACTAGGAAAAGTGATATCGTCACTTGGTTACTAGGAAAAGTGATATCGTCACTTGGTTACTAGGAAAAATTGGTATCGTCACTTGGTTACTAGGAAATATTGGTATCGTCACTTGGT